CCATTTAATACAAGACCAGGCTGCCCAGGGCCCCATCCAATCTGGTTTTGAACACCTCTAGGGATGGGGCATCCACAATTGCAGCTTGTTCCAGCACCTCACCACTCTCTCTGTAAAGAACTTCCCCCTGACATCCAACCTAAACCTTCCCTCCCTCAACTCAGAACCATTTCCCCTTGTCCTGCTGTTATCAACCCTTTCAAAGAGTTGACTCTCCTCCTATTTGTAGGCTCCCCTTAGGTACTGAAAGGCTGCAATGAGGTCACCCCACAGCCTTCTTTTCTCCAGGCTGAACAAGTCCAGCTCCCTCTGCCTGTCTTTGTAGGGGAGGTGCTCTGGTCCCCTGATCATCTTTGTGGCCATCCTCTGGACCCACTCCAACAGCTCCCGGTCTTTCTTGTACTGAGTGCTCCAGACCTGGACACAGTACTCCAGCTGGGGCCTCACAAGAGCAGAGTAGAGGGAGACAATCACCTGGCTGTCCCTGCTGGCCACCCCTCTTCTGGTGGATCCTAGGATACCATTTGCTTTCCAAGCTGCAAGAACACACTGCTGGTTTATGTTAAGCTTTTCATCCACCAAGGTCCTTCTCTGCAGGGCTGCTCTCAAGGACCGCTCCCTCCAGTCTGTATGGATGCCTGGGTTTCGTCCGGCTCAAGCGCAACACCTTGTACTTTGCTGTGTTGAACCTCATCAGGTTCACCCGGGCCCACCTTTTAAGCCTGTAGAGGTCCCTCTGAATGGCATTCCTTCCTTCAACTGTGTCAACCGCACCACTCAGCTTGGTTTCGTCAGCAACTTGCAGAGGGTGCACTCGATTTCATCATCAATGTCATTGATAAAGATGTTAAAGAGCACTGGACCCAAGACAGACCCTTGGGGGACGCTGCTTGTTACCGGCCTCCACCTGGATATAGAGCCATTGATGACTACCCTTTGTCTGTAGCTCTTCAACCAGTTTCTTATCCATGGAGTGGTCTCCCCATCAAATCCACATCCCTCCAATTTGCAGAAAAGGATGTATTGTGGGACCATGTCAAAATCCAGGTAAATGACATAGGTCGCCTTTCCCTTGTCCACTGATGCCATCACTCCATCATAGAAGGCCACCAGATTGGTTAAGCATGACCCTCCCATGGTGAAGCCATGCTGGCTGTCACAGATCACACACCCATTACTCCTGTGGTCAGGCACGTCATCCATGAGGATCTGTTCCATGATCTTCCCAGGCACAGAGGTGAGACTCACCAGCCTGTAGTTCCCAGGGTCCTCCTTGTTCCCTTTCTTGTAAATGGGAGTGATGTGACCCATCCTCCAGCCATCCAGCCACGACTTGTCAAATATGAAGGAGAGCAGCTCGGCAACCACTCAGCCAGCTCCTTCAGAACCGTGGGATGCACGTCATCTGGCCCCATAGACTTGTACACATTCAGTCTCATGAGGCGGTCTCGGACCTGCTCTGTCTTCACAGTGGGGGGGGGATTTACCACCCCAGTCCCCACCTGGAGGTTTAGGGATACAGGGTTCAGGGATGTGAGAAGTACTGGAATCCTGGCCGCCAGTGAAGACCGAGGAAGAACTCATTCAGTACCTCAGCCTTCTCTTCATCCCTTGAAGCCACTTCTCCTGTTACATTTACCAAAGGAGGTGCACTCACTTTGGCCTGTCTCTTCTGGCCAATGTACCTGTAAAAAGTCTTGCTATTGTTTTTCATGTCCCTTGCCAAGTTCAGTTTGCCTGCACCTTGGCTTTTCTGATCCCATATCTGCAAGTCTAGAAAGCATCCCTGTATTCTTCCCAGGTGACACGCCCTTGTTTCCAGAGCTTGTACACGCCTTTCTTTGTCCTTAGTGTGCCCAGCAGGTCCTTGCGAGCCATGCCGGTTTCCTACCTCCTCTGCCTGCTTTCTTATTCAGAGGGATGGAGAACTCTTGTGCTCTCGGTGGCATCTTTGAAGAGTAGCCAGCTGTCCTCAACATCTTTGTTTTTAAAGCCAGCGTCCCAGGGGATGTTGGCCAGCAGTCCATTGAACCGCTTAAAATTTGCTCTTCCAAATTCAGGGTCCCTATGCTGCTCTTTGCCAGTCCCACATCTCTCAAGATCACAAACTCAACCAGGGTGTGGTCAGTGCAACCCAGGCTGCCTGCGACCTTAATGTCTTTAATGATCTCAACAGGCCTCCACCAGGATGTCTGACTTGTTGGCCCTTACCCAGATCCTTACCCATAGAGGGTCTACCTTACCATTCCCAGCCCCAAGCACTCTCTAACATAGAGAGGCAAGGCACCACCCTTTCTTTCTTGCCTGTCCTGTTTGAAGAGCTTATAGCCATCCATTGCAGCACTCCAGTCATGAGAGCAGTCCCACCATGTTTTTGTAATCGGGAGCTACCAAGTTCGTGGCTGTTACGTGAATTATTTGCTATGTTTCATGCTTTGGAAAAGACACTAAGACTGAGGAGAAGGGAATGTTTTGGGCTGTATGTAAATGTATTGCCAAAAGGGGGCCCAGGGCCATAAGGTTTTCTCTTGTGGGTTTTTTTCTGTTTTTTTTTTTTTTGTGTGTGTGTGCGTTTTATTTTTTTTTTTGAGCTTTTTAATACAGATTTCATCATGATTTACTTGTAAGATGAACTTTGCTGATGAAATGTTTGTACAGATTACTCAGTTGCAGATTTTTTTGTACTCTCCTAATCTGAGGTAAATCAACTGCTACATTTAAAATTTGAGGATATTTTCTACCATATGTACCAATTAAAACCATATAGCTATAATAATTATTTTGAGCACAACTGGCCCCATTACTTTTGACTGTAACATCTGCTATTTGAGGTCATTTCTGATCACAGACTAGAAAACTGCAGTTGTGTTTGAAGGAAGAGTCCTCCAGTGGTTGCTCTGTTTTGTGTTTTTTTTGTTGTTGTCTGTGTGGTTGTCTTAAAGTGACTGTACTGAGTGTGGGAAATAAAGGCAGCCATTTCAGACTTTGTTTTTGGTAATGCCACTCCCTGAAGGATGGAAAGGAATATGCTAGTGGGTTTTTTTTGTTTGTTTACCACGTTACTCTCCCATATAAAAATAAATAATAACAAAAAAAACCACTACCTTTTGGAAATATTTAGAATGGTCAGTACTACTTTTCAGGATGGATAAGGCTGCTTTGGCTGCAGCACACAGATGTTGCTACGGCTGATCTGGAGCTTAGCAAGTCCTCTCATTAATTCTCTTGTTCTTTATAATTTAATTCATGTGTTCCTGAATACCGAATGAACAATTCCTCCCCTACAGGAAAATATTTTGCATTTGAGAACTAGCTCTGTCATAACTAGCTTGTACATGGTGTGACATGCAGCAAGGAGTGGAAAGGAACATAAAACCAAGGGAGTGTGGCTGACTTTGCAGAGAATGTTCTGGAAGCAGGGTGGTGCCTCCCCCAGGCAGTAGCTGGAGAGCTCATCCTCAGGGCTGGCTGCAAACTGTGGACTGGATTTCCCTGAGCTAGGAAATCAAATGAGTTAGAATGAATTAACTAGTACCGCGTTCTGTGATAAGAATTGTACTGCTATGCTGGTATTCGTGTGCAAAGCTGTAGAGCTAGGGTGGGAGATGGGGGAACAGCTGTTTATAGGGAATGCAAAGGGCAGGGGGGGGAGGGTTGTGTTTGTGGTTTTTTAAAAACAGACTTGGTGGCCTTTATTTTCCAGTTCTGAGCATGTTCATCAAATGACTCCTTCTGCAAACAACAAAAGCATCGCTAAAGGATGTATTCTGCACAGCGCTTACATGTGCTAACATACATACATCTATCTGAAAGTAACATCAATCAAAAGATGCGCGTGAAATAACGGTGGAGTCTGATCACTTAAATGGTTAATGATTGTCATTCTACTGTGACAGTCATTCTGGAAAAAATATAGTATTTGCCTTGCACGTCTCTTCAGGCTTTTGGATACAACTTCTGAGCTTGAATTGTAACAACTAATGAAAAATAATTTGCATTATTAAATACTTTCAGATGAAAAGTCAGTATCTTTGTGACAGTATGATAAGTAAACTATATTATTCTTAAATAACCTAGAACCAGCCCTACAGCAAATTGTACTTCCACAGTGAAAAGGGGGCATTAAAAGTAATCCAGCCCTAATATTGTTAACATTTTAAAGAAAAATAGTGTAGAGAGCAAGAAGAGGTCAGGACTGCAAAGTAGGATTCTCTGATTCTGAGGTGGCTATGCTTTTGCCTGACTGGAATTGGCAAGCACTTCTGTCTCCATCACTTCTCTCTTTCTGTGTTCTGCTAAATGGTGTAACAGCATACCTAAAACAGCGCTGCAGGATGTGCAGCGCAACATTATTGTGGGTTTAGCTTTTTTTCAGGGTTCACAAATAAATGTTTATATATAGCATAATAAATAGTATATTTACTTTCAGTTGTGTCATACCCTAAGAGATTCTCATAAGGCTGCAAATGGAGAGGGTTGGGGAAAGGTACTGCACAACTATTCACCCTTTATATAAACAGATTTAATAGTAAGCAAAGCCTGGTTTAATTTTTCCCCATCAAAATACAGTGACTGTTAGAATAGGCATTTGTAAAATATCATATATTTGTTAATATAACAGGGCTTTGACTGTAATATAGGTTGTTGGATGGCAACTGGATGAAAAAGCAAGAAGTAAAACATTAACTATTTGAACTCCGAATGAGACTAAAATCTGGGCTTCTCTCTTTACCTGCCACTATATCCTTTTAGGTACTTGAAAGAAACAAAGCCCACAGCTCTACCTACATGGTGAGGACAGAAGAGGGGAGGGGGGAAAAAAGAAAATAGTAATTTAAACAAACTGGCCAAACATGTTACCTGTCACAGTAGGTTAAAAATGGAGCTGCTCTACTTGATACTTATTATTGGTAGGCTGGAAAAATCAGTTATATAATAGCTGATGGTATGAGCATTGAGCGTATGCATTTATTCAGTGTTACTTAAATTATTACAGAATGCTTACCAAATTATTCCAAACAATTCAATGTTCAGCATTCCTGCTTCAAGGTGGCATTTCTTTTGTGGAGACCATTGCCAGTGTTAATATAAACAGTAGGAGCCACACTTTTGACAGGGATCTGGATTATTAGTAAGCAGGTATATGTTCTAGAACATGTAGTTGTCTCGAGTGTGGGGGTGGGGAGCTTTGCTTGGCAATATTCTGCTGCAATTTTGTCTTGAAATGAGGCCCCCTTTATGTAAATTTTTACTGGCGCCAGCTAGCTGTAACTGCAGTCTGGCTCAGCCTCGGCAGCAAGTAACATGTGTCATGGACTTGACTTTGCGTGGATTACAGAAATGTTTCAGTGTCTGAGTAGGAAGAGCAACGCTGATGAATTCAAAAAGGATGTACAAGAGAACCTAGGTGTAGTTAGATTACTGGTGTCTGAAAACATGGATGATTTTTTCTGCCTGCTTCTTTATTTTAAGTATGCTGTCTTCTGCTGAGCTGTAATAAATTTATGCTTGTTGGTACCACTGTGTGGTATGTGGGAGGTACCTCACTGCACATAGTTGCTGCAGTGCTAATAGTTGGCAGCACAGAAGGCTGCACAAAGAGTTCCGGCTGTGGACACTTGCAGTTGCAACATTCACTTGGAGGCTGTGGCATGCTCACTGAGCTGCAGTGACACATTGATTCACTTGTGTGAATAAGTGGCAGTTCCAGCATGCTTTAACAAGCGGATGTAGGCTGCTAGCAGAGAGGTACAATAGCATAGCTCAGTCTGGATAGAAAATAATTTGCTGCTGTATAAACAAAATAAGATCTTAGTATCAAGATGGCTGACCTGGAAGTCTACTTGTACTTCTTGTTTCTTATGCAAATGAGCTAAATGTCAATGGCTTATTCAGAGGAGGAAGTTCATTTTGCACGTGTCAAATTCTCCACAGGTAAGATAAGCTACTGATTTTCTGCATTAATGTTTCAGAGGCCTTTGAAGCTATTTTTCCACTTAGATGGTCATCCCTATGTTGGCAAAATGCCAGTTTTATTACATTTAAATCAGGAATTTTTCTGTGAAGCCTGGAAGTCAGTTGTGCTTGCTGTAGTTAATTCTGGGTCACTGTCATTAGAGAGAATGCTAACTACAAATTATTATAAAATGTTTGTGTAAATTAAACTGAAGACTTTTTAAAAATAATAAAATCTTTAGGAAGTACTTTGTTGTTGATATTGTTGTTTTTTGCTTAGTTCCAACCCCAAGTGTCTCACTAGTGTTCTGTCTCCATAGAGACACCAGTTACACACAGAGCCATAGCCCTGCTGTGAGCCTATCCCTGAACAGGGTGCAGAATTAAGAAGGTTGAATTGAAGGAACTAGATCTTAGTGGTCTTTTCCAACTTTAGTGATTCTATGAACATATCAGTGATGTGTGTTTCCTTGTTTTTTTTCCGGGGGGGGGGGAGGGGGGCAAGGGGAGAGGGATTTTTTGGCTTCATGGTCTTAAATGCTCTTAAACCACTCACTGTGGTTTAATTATCATCTTTGTGAGGTGGTAAAGCTTATCAAAGCACAAGATGCTGAACTGACATTTATCTTTCAGTATAAATGCATATTAACAAGTGTTATGTGAATTTTAAAAAGATGTATTTGTAAATAGCAAACGGGTCAAACTGATATTTATCTGATCTGCCCCATCAGATAGTATTGAAAAAAGACAATAAGCTCATTTTAAAGCAGCAAATTTTAACTAAATGACAGTACTCTTAATTTCTTAAAGTACTGTGCTATAGTTAGGCACACAGTGCATGAAAATACTGCATTGGGCAGATGTGCTAGTTCTGCTTAAATGCATTTGCATTGTTGCCATTTTACAAATAAAAAAATTGACAGGATGAGAGACAGGAAAGGGGAGAAGGTAGAAGAAACTAACTTAATTTGGAAAGTCTCTGAGGTGAAGAAGATACATATTGGAGATGCATGAAAAGGCCAAAGAAAATATGGAAAGAATTGATTACGTAAAGGTAGATGGCAGCTTAAGGTAAGGATACGGAAGTGACAGTAGACAGTTGTGTGGTCCAGATGGAAAAATATGATGATTTAAAGGGAGTGAAAAGTAGAGGGGCAAAGTAGGCGGGCAGACTATCTGAACTTGAAACGAGGCTCTGATAGAGACCAAATCTGCTAGAACTGTTCTGAAGTTGTGAATTAAGGCCAAGAGAATTGTGCGTGGTAGAAAAGAGCTACAGCTGGCTGATACTGAGAAGAATTGAATGATAATAGCGAAAGGTATATGTCTGTGTTGATATGGCAACATAAACAATGCATGTCAACAACTTGCGCCAAATGATTTTATTTCCTTGTATCTGATTTCATTTTAAACCTTTAATGCTTGCTTTTTTTTTAGTAAGACAAAAAAAGGTGGTAGATTTTCTGAAGTTCACAAATTATAGTTAACCATTATTGAGGTTGTCTATGAAGGGCAAATTCTGTTTCAATCTGTCTGGATTTCATTTCAATATGAAAGGGACAGTTCAAGGGCCTTTGCTTTCTTATCCCTTTCTCCCCCACTTTGGAAAGCTTAAGTGTGAGAATAGTAGAGAAAAATGGCGTTGAGTAGGACATGAAAAAAAATGTAGGAAACTGATCATTTGAAAGGAAAACTGTGATTAATAAGGCCAAAGGAGAGATGATCTAAGTAACTATTCAGGCTAATATCAGTTTGGGGGGGAGTAGAGGGGAAGTGATGGATTCAGTAAATGTGAAAGGATATTAAAAGAACTGTGACCAAAGTGCTTTAATGGAAATAAAATTTTATCTGAGGGGAAAAGAAAGAATTTTTTTTAGAGCACTGTTGCTTGGCATTAATGCTCACTATGTATAATGCAGTTATGCATTGGTATAAAACCTTCATCAGCAAAACAAAAAAAAAAAAAAAAGCACACGTATGAGGTAAATTGAATGCCTTTCTAAAAGTTTGTGGGAGTGGGAGAATGACAACATCGTTACTGGAGGAAGCATGATCCAAGTGAGGCTTACAGGAAAGTGGAGGAGGGACTTTTTATAAGGGCATGCAGCAACAGGACAAGGGGAAATGCCTTTAAACTGGAAAAGGGTAGATTTAAACTAGGTATTAGGAAGAAGTGCTTTACTGTGACAGTGGAGAAACACTGGAACAGGTTGCGCAGGGAAGCTGTGGATGCCCCCTCCCTGGAAGCACTCAAGGCCAGGCTGGATAACGCTTTGGGCAACGTGGTCTAGAGGGAGGTGTCCCTACCTATAGCAGGGGGGTTGGAACTAGATCTTAAAGGTGTCTTCCAATCCAAACCATTTTATGATTCTGTGGCTGGTACTGTGAAGTTCTGTTAATTTGTAGATGGTGAAAAGAATCACCAATGAGGCCTGTTCAAACAGTCTGTTGTATAGCAGAGTCTAAAATCATTCTGTATTGGTTGTTTGTAAATGTATGTACCTGCTTAACAGGAAACTGTTTTCTGGGATTAAGTAGGGGGCATAGAGAAAGCCCCTTTGCCCTCTCCCCCAGACCCTCCACCCCCAAAAAAAAATGGAGAGCCAGAATCCCAAGTGTGGAGCTAATGTAGAGGGGCTGAAATTTTGAGGAATATAAAGAGAGAGTAAGAAAGTAATATATTTTATTTTCTTAAGCTGCCTTGGATATACTGATGATATGAAGCCCACATCAGTACAGGTTATGGTCTTGACCGTAGGGTTTTAGTAATGTTAAAAATATATATATATATATATCAGGAAAAGACGTGAAAATTACATTGCTTAAGGAACATAGAATATTTTGGTTACTCTGAAAGTATTGTCTGTGTATTTCCATGAAAACAGCACAGTAACACTATTAGAGCACATTCTCAGCTACAAAACAGTATTTTTCAATGTAATCACCATTAGCTATGCATTTATGCCAGCGATTAACAAAAATCTGCATTGCCATGCTCGTAAAAATTCGCACTAATAGAGGTGACCCCGCTGATTCACAGTTGCTACAACAGTGCCGTTGCTAGGAAAATGTTCCCCACACAGTTCACTGTTTATCAACCTGAACAAATGGAAGTCGAAATGCTCCAAATCTGGACTGTAGAGTAGCTGTGGTAGCAGAGTCCAGCCAAGATTAGCAGTGTGTTCCACCATCTTAAACTGGTGTGGGGCCTGGTGTTACCGTGTTGCAAGAGAAAGATGGCTCTTATCCAGGCTTAGGCTTTCAGCCTCTGAAAGTTTGAGCCTTCAGCTTAGTGGTTGGAAGTAATGGTTTGTCTTCGTTCCAGGAAATTCAAAGGGATCACTCCTTTCCTATTCCAAAAGACAGTGCACATCACTTTACCTGCTGAGGGCTGCATCTTGGGCGTTTTCTTCAATGGGGAATTCACATGTTACCATTCCATGGACTCTTGTTTTGACTCTGGCTCATGGTGATGGCACCACCTCTAGTCACCAGTAATTATGTCAATCCAGTGAACTGTCACCTTCAGCCTCATATTGGTTCTGACAAACTTGCATACGGTATTCCTTCTGTTCCTGTGAGTATTTGTGAGGCACAGCTTTGCAGTATTCCAACACTGCCAACATCAAAACATACAGCTGTTGCAGTCTTTCCAGTGCACTGAAGCCAATAAGCTGTTATTACACCATTCCTTGGTCATAATTAACGAATTTGTGAGGATAAATGGGTTGAGGTACTCTTCATTTCCTGGTGTGACAGCTGTTCATGGTCACCTGAAATGTTGTTTGTCTTTCATGTTACTGTTGACATTGCAGAAAAGTGCTATGGACTGTACTGCTGTGCTCACATGCACTGTTTGGTCTCCCTAAATGTTAAACAAGTATTGGTCAGTCTCCATGGGTGCCATTTTTTTTGCATGGAGGAGTTTAGTGACACACCTTTGCTTCATACACACTTCCACATCAGGCACCATTTTGTTAGACCACCTCTCTGCTGCCATCTGTCACATGGCAACAAAACTGAATGCAATACTGTTGGAAAGGTAAAACCTTTACTGCCATATCACCACCATTTGCCTCTGCCATCCTGGGCCAAGATAATAAAATAGATGTTATTTTCGAAGCAGTTCTAGAAAAATTTAAGTTGGAATGAATTTCTGATCTGACATCTTCAAGAGATGGTAATCTTAAAATTAGATAAAGTTACTTCAGGGTTTGTCAAGCTAAGGTCTGCAAGGGTGAAGATTCCACAGCCTCTCCAGGCAAGCTATTTCAGTGTTTGGACACACTCATCGCAAATAATCATTCTCTGTGTCTATCTGGGATTTCCACTGTTGCAGGCTGCATCTGTGTCAGTGTGCTGTGAATTTCTGAAGGGTCTGGATTTTGTCTTCTGTATAAATGCAGGTTTGTCTATTGAGGAGACCAGTTCTCTTTTAGCGGTCTATTCTTCATGCTACATAAATTCAGCTCACTAGTTTAACCTTATTTGCCATGTTCTCCAGCCCTTAACCATCTTGGTGCTCCTCTAGGTTTTCAGTATCTGTTGTGTTAGGGGTTTCCTTCCTCCAGAAAGGCATTCCAATTTTGATTTGAAGGCAGACTGAACAGGATCACTAACTTATGGCACTCGGATGACACACTGCCTTGAAGCAGCTAATGTATGACTTGATTGCTCTGGCAGCTCTGTATCTGGGTTATGTGGGATGGCGCTGGTGTGACATCTTTCATATAGTCTAAATTTTTCATTATTGTATGAATGAAGTTCTCCAGTTGGAACCATTACAGTGTTTTACTAGCCTGATTGAGACTTGGCTAACTATCTAACCAAACCTTGCCATGCTAATGTGGTACTTCCCAAGCTAACTGCAAAGTGAAAAAGCTCTAGTATTGTGTCTACTTTCTTTTATTGGGCAACATAAGTCATGTACCATATGTGCCACCACAAGGGCTATATATATATTCCAAGAAGTCTTGCTG